CCCCAAAACCCCAAAACCCCAAAACCCCAAAACCCCGTGAAGCAAAAATAATATTGATAATAATAAATAGCCTTAGTCTACACTATGTCAGACAAAGTATTAAAGCCCTGTGATAGCCACTTTGAGTTATCTATTAATCTCAGGCTTGGTTCTCGCAACGAAAGATTTGAAGGTATTCCTGTGTGTTAAAATTATAGAAGACTTATTCTACAGGCCAGAGCTAGACCTGGATGAAGACAGTACACCCAATGGAGATAATGAATCTGTTTCTTCAAATAATGGTCAGTCATTTGAAGATATGGCCATGCACGAGGTTGATTCTGTAAGTTATTTTGGACTAATGATCTTCTTGGTATGCTTAAATCGAATGAAGATATTCATAATTTAGATATTAGGAGTTCTTGAAACTGTACAATAAAACGTACCTTTTTGATACTAATTTTAATGCCTAAGTTAAAAGAAGTAATCATCGCTGTTTCTGAGGTTATTGTTAACACTGCAAAGTTTAGCTGAAAATATTGACTGAGATTATTTAAGAGAATCTGATTTTGCTCACTAGCTTATTGGATCACTAATAGAATTTGCACTTTGAATAAACTTTGCTCTTCTGTGCACCAACAGTTATTCATGTTATTAAGGCTTATCGAAATTGTATACAGTAAAAATTTATAAAAAGAGCAAACACAGTTGTCATATCTTATAAAGCAGGATCAGCCACTAATCAAATTCTATCAAAATTTTCTCAGCCATCCACTTCTTTATAAATATGAATTCTTCTAAAAGTACTACTATAGAAATAACATTGAAATGAGTGGGGGAAGAACTGAAAAAGAATTCCAAGGTATCCCAATAGCCCTCTAAATATAGGATTCACTTCAAATATCCAGATGATTAACAAAAATCTAAAATGCAATAAACAGACAAGTTCTGGAATGTCAAACTCTAAAGAAGAGGTATTTTTAAATCTTAACCATTAGAGAAAACTACTACGCCGAGCTAAATCTGCTGGAGGTATTATATGATCTCAACCAATAGAAGATTTCAAATGCAGAGAATCTTCCTTTGAGGAGGAGAAGGCCCAGGAACCCGACAAAAAGATTGACTATAACCAAAATGAAGTAGATCTAGCTGTAAAGCGACATCTGATGAAATTTCAAATGTTTTTTTAATCACTATCAATTAAGCTCACGAGAAAAGATGTATATCTTGACCCAGCCAATTCCTCAGGATATTGGAGAGTTAAATTTGACACTTGTGAGGAAAGGAGGAAAATTCTTAAAATACTTCAACAAGTATTATCTCTCAAATGAAACAAGATCCATTTCACTTTTAAGTGCTAAAACTTCTTGGAAAAATTCTTCAAGTTATCATATTTTCAGCTCGAAATAAGTATGCTGGGAAAGTGATTGCTGGCAAAAACAAGAACATCTACACTGTATATGACAACTCTGACTTCACTTCTGGCTCATACGAGGTAATTTCGCTCTCTCATCTTTAGAACTGTCGGAACGAAATAGGGGCTATTCATTACACAAGCATTGATTCAGAATCTAAATGAAGAAACATAGTAGCTCGACTCCCTCAAATCGAGTCTGATGAATGCTATTCAGACATAAAATCTACTAGCTCTAGTACTTCATGTCTTTTTGAGAACTCTACTAAAAACTACGAATTTGTAAACTGTAAACCATTTTACACTGATACTGACGGTTGGTCAATGGGCTTTTCATCCCGAGTGAAGAAATCTAGCTGCAAGAATTTTAAATTGGTCCATATGACAGGCTCCTCATGTCAGGAAGATCATGACTCATCTTTGCTAGAATTTGGTAAAATTTCGAAAAATACCTTTGCTCTCACTGTAGAGTATCCTTTCTCAATCATGAATGCCTTTGCTTTTGCTTTATCAGCTTTCCACACAAGATCTTGGTGGCAAAAAGCAGATCAGGAATAATGCTATCCAATAACGGATGAAGCAAATAACTAAAATTTCCTTTAAAGAAAATTAAAACATTCTTCATAAACTTTAAATGTTCTATAAATTCTGAATAGAATGAATTCCTTCTAACCTCTCACTCAAATTGTTAAATCCCCTTGATATTGATTCAATTAAGCCTGAGTAGATTGGGGTTTTGGGGTTTTGGGGTTTTGGGGA